TTTTTTGAAAGCGAATCTTGTGCGCGAAAAATTATCGCAAGTGTTTCTCGTAAAGTGTCAGGCATTCGTCGAAACAATATTAAACATTGTATGTTATTACAATAAGGGCTTTTTTGTATCGGCAATCCGCGTATGCTCGATTGAAATCGCTTTCGTATATTTTATTTTCTTTTCGAAATAAACTATGAGAAATAAGTGCATAATTATCATCTCGTATGTATATGTTTATTTGGTAATTGATTGTTTTGATTATATCTTCGTATAATAATTCGCTATATATTTCGATCGGTTTCTGATATTTATTATAGACATCTCGAATTTTTTTATTTTTATGGGGAGTAATCACCGCTATTATTTAATTGTCTCGACTGTTTTGATATTTCGAGATTGGCAATATTGCATATCGATACATCTCGCCGCCATTATAGTCGTGAACGAGCCGCGGCGACTGCAGAGTCGCGTTCAAATTGCTCTGGATTTCTTGTGAGTGTTATTGTTTAAACGCGGGTCTTGTGCGCGAAAAAGCGTCACGAGTGTTTCTCGTAAAGTGTCAGACACATTCGTCAAAACAATATTAAATATTATTATCACAATATGGGCCTTTTTGTATATTGGCGATCCGCGTATGCTCGATTGAAATCGCTGTCGAATATTTTATTTTATATTTTATTTTCTCTTTGAAATAAACTATGGGGAACAGGTGCACAATTATCGTCTCGTATGTATATCTTTATTCGATAATTCATTGTTTTGATTATATTTTCGTATAATAATTAGCGTATAATATTTCGACCGGTTTCTGATATTTATTATAGGCGTCTCGAACTTTTTTTACTTTTATGGGAAATATAATTACCGCTATTATTTGGTTGTCTCGATCGTTTCGATATTTCGAGATTGGCAATATTGCATATCGATACATCTCGCCGCCATGACAGTTGTGAACGAGCCGCGGCGACCGTTGAGTCGCGTTTAAACCGCTCCGTATTTCCCGCGAATATTATTGTTTAAACGCAAGTCCTCTTCGCGAAAAAGTGTCGTGAATGTTTCTCGTGAATGTCGGGCGTTCGTCGAAACATTCGTGTTAAACATCGCGTGTTATCGTTGTCGTACACGTATATGGACATCTCTGCGTCGATGATTCGCGTGAATTGCCCGAACGGAGATTGCAAGCGTCTCTGCATTTTTCATGTTAACCTATCTCCGAAGTGCAACGAAAGCGCAATTTATGCACGTCCGTCGTCAGGTATGTGCATGTCATCGTTCTGTAAGTAGCTACGCCGATAATACTTTTTGTAATAATTCAGTATTCTGATCACTTTTGAGACATATTCTTTTACTGTGTATGTGTGTGTGAATTTTCTCTGAACTTTTATATTAAATAATTATTCTCTCTACGACTTTACGAATGTTGACGCTACGTCAATGGTTTAAAATTTAAATACTTTGAGAATCGTTACTTATATCTTGATCATCGTTTTGGTTGTCTTCAAAAAACTCGCAGCCTCTTTTATTCATACGCCTGGTATTATCGACAGTTTTCGGTCATTTATACATGATCTTTAGCTTATAATATTAATTTCATTTATATATATACTACTTATATATATTTTATTTATATTAAAAATTATTCTCCATGAAACATGCTATCCGGATGCATTTTATGTATAGCATACACTTATATACAACATATATATAGATGCAGTATATCGTGTATTTTCGTGACCTGAAAACTGTCGATAATGTCAACGCTCTTCTATGCCCCCCTTGATAATCCCGAAAATGTTCGCAAGACCGGGCGGTCTTCACTATACGTCAATGATATAACTAATAAACAATATTTTAATATAATTAATTTTAACATAATTTTAAAAAATGTCTCGATAAACGCTATTCTTTAAAGCAATTTTTTCCACATACCAAATTCCTCTTCAATCTTTCTACAAAATATATATGTGAGGATATATTTTTCTAATACAGAACGTATATTAAGGGCCACTTCGACCAAACTCCGATTAATTTAATGAGTCGATTATATCACATTCATATCGTATTCTATTGCACGTGAGAATTGCAAATAAAACATCTCGCTTATTAAATTCGGTTCGACTAATCACGAAAAATATTCTTTCTAGATTAGAAAGAGTCCCATGCTATCTATAATGTACGAATAAAGACGGAAATTCTGATTGTACTGCAGTCTCAAACTTAAAGAAAAATAGAGAGATTTTAATTTACGAAATTAATTTAATGCCGCTCGACTTCGAAAGCGTACGCGCGGAGTAAGGGTTACTTCGACCAAACTCCGATTAATTTAATCGTTGATTAACTTACAGGGCGACCAACATAAAAATTTCTAACAATATAATATTGTTTTTTTAATTCTTTTTTTGGTCGCCCTGTAAATTAATCAACGATTAAATTAATTGGAATTTGATCGAAGAAACTCTAAGAAATACTTCTAAAAATATTACTCGTAAAACCATATAATTATAATAATGCATATTATTTTTTTATCTTTTTATTCGTTTACTTCTTTAGACATGTCACATTCTATCTCAAATATATATAATTTTCGAATAATCGAGGCTGTTCAACCTAGAAAAATAAATTTTTGTTGCGTCACGCGGAATTCATCAGTATCCGTGATGGGGGGCTCGATCGTCCACTTCGGCGAGATGAATAAACGACCCACGAATTCCAAGTTATATTCCGCACGAGACGAACGGTGACCGATCTCGGCGGATGTCGTTCTCGGGAAGGCCGGCGAAGCTTTCAAAGGAATCGGTGAACGTTCGATCGCGTCGTCTTCCGGCGGGTCATGCTCGAAGGTATTCACCGGAAGTCCCGCTTTTCTGCATTCCTCCGCCAACACCTACGGTCAGTGACACGCTGGACACATTGAAATTCGTCTGCGACGTTCGCGCGTTTGTTATTTCTTTTTTCTTTTTCTACCGTACACTCGGAGGGCTCTGACAGAAGGTCTTTTTTTAAGGTACCTCGCTGAAAAATTGCCCAGTCAAATGCTCGTACTTCTGCGGCCATAACCGTCGCGATACGCTTTCGAGGAAGTTTGTTTCTTTGCTGAAATAATATGAAAATAATTATATCCTTAATAAGACATGTTAAAGTGAGTCTACGTATAATTATTCTGCGTGCAATCAACTTAAAACTATTATCGTTTTAATATTTTCTATGACAAATACGTATTATATATAGTTATTACCGAATATTATCAGCGATCACTTCGTTTCTGAAAAGATCATCGTGTTTTATAGGAATCACTCTTTCAACCACTTTCTTGCTCTCTTTATCTTTCTTTTTCACAGACATTCCGATACTTCTTCGCACGACGAACACAATCTTTAGTAATGAATCCGACCAAAGCGTACGCGCAGTTTGTTCGATACGGATTGTTGCTATAGTTATCACGCGGTAATATTGAAATTCTTAACCTACATCTTGCGGAATAAGCACAGAAAATTTTCGGACGAAATGTATCAATTGTATCGCGAATAAAACATATACAAAATAACGCAAAATATCGCGTGCTAAAAATGCCCTCTTTTATGAGCAGTTCTGAATTTTCAAATTTTACCAACGCGAGTTATCGACGCGATTTATACTTGTGGCAATGTTTTTTAATTTTGCCATATCCGAAATATATACTGGAAAAAATCCGGTATCGTCCAAAGTCGAAATGATAGAATGAATGAAAAGACGCTTCACCTCGGTAAAGATTCCCTAAATCCGTTATCCGGTGTAACGTTTATCGCCGTTGTAGTAACATCGATGTTGCAGAGTCAGCGCAGGGATGAAGATGAGCATATCGGGAATCTTTTTCGATTATCAAAGTAGCTGGAAAATAATCAAACATATGATATAATATTGTATGTAGCCAGACCGATTATTTATATAAAGTTTGTGATACTCGAGTACATCGATATTCAAGTAATAGTAGAGTATTGCATATATATTGAGAAAGAAAAAAAATTAAGAATTGTAACAGAATGCAGTGTACCTAAATTAATTTGCACAGAACCGCTATTTATAGTGCTTATCACTTAAAATGTCAACCCGTACAATTCTTGACTTTAGTGCGATTATTTGCGTTTTCATTGCTATTTTCTCTGCCTTTTCTTCTTTTTTCTTTTATATATACACAGGGTAACCCATCAAAAATGGTCATCCTCTTTTATCTTTTAAACTAACAGAGATAGACTATAATAAATATATATCAAACTAAATGGTTTAAATTGAACTCTATTGTGAGTATAGTAGTTGCTTATAAAAGCTATCTATATTAATGTAATTTACATGTAAATTATTATACAAGTTTTATTGTCTTAAAATATTTACATTAAATTATACATCGTTGTATTCGTTTCAAACAACGCTATAACTTTTATTGTGTCGAAATATTCACATTGTTATAAAAAAATTATGCATATCTCTCCGTTCGTTAACCTAACACAGATAGTTTTTGTAAGCAACTACTATGTTCACAATAGAGTTCAGTTTGAATCATTTAATTTGATATATATTTGCTATGGTCTATCTCTTTTAGTTTAAAAGATAAAAGAAGGTGGCCACTTTTGGTGAGATAGCCTGTATGTATATGTATATCAGTCTTTTCGTTCCCGTTATCAATCTATCTTTCTTCGTCGTCGCAGCCTGTATCTCCCACTTGATTTATACCCCTGGGAAAATCGCGCCATTTTATTTCTCTCTTCCTTCTCATTTTTAGAAATTTGAAAGTTTATCACCATATTCGTTTGCCTTCTTAATGCAATTATCTCTATAGTTTGTGCTTTTAATGAGGCCGAAAGTGACAATTTTTTTGTAGAATTAAAATTATTATATATATAATCTCATTGTCAGAGACAAAATAACTGTTTCAATTTATCGTAAATATATCTAAACGATATCATAATTATGCAGATAAAATTATATGTGTAAATTTGCGCCACTTGTTTAGCGGAGAAAGAAAAGAAAGAGAAATTGAATATTTTACTAGTTTATTGAGCATTCCTAGATTTTAAAATTTACTAATACTAAGTAGGTCTGCAGAAATGGCCATTAATAATTACACACACATACACAAAATTTAGGACTTACAAGTACGATGCATAACGGTCGAATTATGATGTACAAAAATAATTTTAAATAAAATATAAATATGTATATCCAAATTATTATATATATGTATATATATACATACAAAACACAATGTCCAAAATAACTAGCATTTTAAACAAATATTATAGCGTACAATGGAATTTTTTATTTGTCCATTAAATAAATATTTAATAAAATAAAATTAATTTTGATCAAAAAACTTTTTGAATTTATGCTTTTATAAAAAGAGATAAAAATCTGATTCATATAAAAAAAGAGAAAATTTAGATAACTGTAAATCTTTTAAACAAAGTCAAAAAAATATTTTATATATAGGTGTATCTCTCTTTATATAAAAAATATTAATTATTAGTAATATTTTATTATAAATTATTTGGAAAGTTTTAAAATAAAATCTAGAATACTTTACATTACTTTGTATTATATTACAATGCAATATGTGAAATAAATCTACCGTAAACAACGAGCAATTAATTTTATAAGTATATATATATAACAAATAATAAAAAGTTATTAATTTTGCTCATTCTATTTGCTTCGCATGACGTTTTCCCGGGCTTCCTCTTTTTCTCTTGTTCATTTTTTGTTACTTGTTCATGGCATTCATATTCATTCACGAAGTTATCATTAATTATAATCACGCGCGCACTGATCATCAGAATATAGAATCTCCAATTTTAATTGCACACAATGCATATTTTATTTTATTGTGTTGAAAACATCATGAAAATTATAATACTCAGTATTTCAAAATCGGCGAAATTCACACGGCATTGTTCGTCCAACTATGCTACCTTTATTGCTAACAAATAGCATATTTCCATAGCATTTGACTATCTCGCGTTATATCATAAATTAATAAATATACGAGAGAGTTAAAATTAAAGCTAAATATTCTCGCACAGAACACGTATAAAATATGTTGTCTTTTTTGATGTCTCTAATATTTGTTTTCAATCGAGGAATAATACGATGACACACGAGCGCTGAACTGTGTGACTACGCGCTATTGTTTACATACACATACGTCATACGTGTCATTTGCGCGGCGTACCTCGGGTAGGAAGGGAGGTAGCTTGGGCCGCTCCGTGTATCGTATTATCTTTCAAATGACGTTCTCGCAAGTACTATAAAATACTAAACGCGATTATCATGATTAGCGATTAGCGAGCCGCATGATTAATTAATTCTCGCGATTCTATCGTTGCTTAACCAATAATTAATCGACTCGCGTGATATTGCGCGGCATCAAAATAAAGTTACCGATTTCATTTTCACAATTTCCGATCATTAACAAAAATCGCGATCATAAATCGGATCAACTTCGAGTCATGTGGCATTATGACGTATTTTAAGTAATAAATATAGTTGTACCCTTAATCACGTAGCGTAATGCTTTCAACTGCGTAGTAAAAATTCGATATTTATATATCAACAATTTATTAAAACGTATATAAAATGTTTTACATGATTTATTTAATCAAGATATATCGCGTAAGTAGCCAACAAAGCAACGACATACATGTTTTCGGATAAAGCATTTTGCGAATATTTATATTTCATTTTAACTCGTGTATTCATTAATTTATATTTATAATATAACGCGAGATAGTGAAATAAAGAATTATACTATATGTATATAAATAAAGAGAGCGAATGAATTTGTGATCACACGATTTTAGAAACAGATCATAGTTTCCATATTGTTTTAAATATAATAAAATACGCGTCCGATTATTATGCGATGAATGACGGGAATGCAATGCAAAATATCACACGATCGCCTTATTCTTGTGTTTAACGCGCGTGATTGTAATTAATCGTGTTTTCGCGAGTGAATTCTTATAAGTGTCATTAGGAAAAAGCAAAGGATCAACAAGACAGAAAGAGGAGACTCAGAAAAACGTCAGATGAAGCAACTGTGAGGTTAGCAAAATTTATAACTTATTTATTATTTGTTACCTGTAAAATTAATTGTTTGTTTTACATTTAATTGCTCTTTGCGATAATGATTTATTTAACAATTTAACAATTTAAAAATATTTATTTAAAATATGATATTTTGTATTTCGGAATTTATTTCTATAACAGAATAATTATACCATTTGAAAATCTTATTATATGGGAGGGAAAATCGAACGGGATACATTCAATTTTATCGACTTTGTTTTGATGCAAATATATATTGACCAGTATTGATAAAAAAGGTCTACCATTTGCCACACAATTAATCGACAAAATTTCAAATATCCAAATCTTGCTGCAGTTTTCCCGTTCTACTGACTAACATTAAATGCGTGATTATTAAATTTTGATGAAATAATTGTTTATGCAATAATAATTCAATATCATTGAACGCAATTATCTCCTTTCATTCGAAACGCTTTAAATTAAATATAAAAGAAACGATCTCGTACAATTTAGATACGAGATTTACGATAGCGCGAGTGAACTTTCGATCCCAGTCATTCGAGCTGGTATCGGATGGCAGAAAAATGAAGAAGCGTCAGATCGGGAAGGGGTGGAACGGATGAGCGGGACCGAAGGGGGGCATATGCGGAAAAACTCAAGCGCGAGGACGTGCAAGCGCGATCTTAGTCGCCGTCAGATGAAAAAGAAAGAATAAGGAGAGAGAGAGAGAGAGCAGTAAGATAGTTGGTGGGTGTAGAGACACGGCGGGGTGCGCTGTAAATTACAAGCGGAGCGCCAAACCGCTATGGTCTTCTCTCGGTGGCGCAGGGGTGTCTAGACGTATAGATAATGCCGGGCTGGCTTGGTGCGGGGTAGACGCAAGCTAGACGGTCCCCGGTTGATCCAGTCAGCCGAACCAGCCAGCCAGCCAGCCAGCCAGCCAGCTACTACCCGAACCAGCCAGCCAGCCAGTCAGCCGGGTTGCGCTAGACACATCGACCATGTTCCGTTTCTCTTCGTTTCTCCCGTTTCCACTATCTAGCTATCTATCCGCGTCTCTTTCTCGCGTCCGCCGCGATCTACAAGGTGGTCCTAAATTAAAAACTTGTCAAACTTAACGAGCATATTCTTGAAAAAATTCGCAATCGGTTCCCCTGTCTAGCGAAAATTTGATTGATAATTTTTATTATCGATCCTTGATAAGTGCCATAAATTTTGTTAGTTTTTTTTTAGTGTAATAGAATCCTTCTTGAGAATTTATTATTTGAAGAGAGATTTATTAAAATTTTATAGAAATAATCATATCATCTTTTATATGCGTGACACTTTATTTTTTATATTTTATTATTAGTTTTATTATGTAACTATATTACTACAAATCTTGTGACGTAAACGCGTTTCTTACGTGAAAAATTTTAAAATTTTAAAATCTTATCCTATTGAGGATTAAATGTAATGATTTTGTCTCGGTAATTGAGGTTTGAATTAGCAAAAATTAAATAGTAGAATTAGTATAAAATTATTATGGCTTAATTCGGAAGCACCCTGTATGCGCACTGACTACGTCCTCGTCTTACTCGCCTATATATGCGGCGCAACCGGATTTCCCATCGTTCTCGTCGCGCCAGTCGGCTCACGGACGAGAACCTCCTCACCTCTCTCATGCATTCGGCGCGGCCAGGAGATGCAAATCCCCAATAGCATCACCTGATATCCAAGATCCCATTGGCAGCGATCGTGACGTGGATGATGCACGAGACCGTCGCCCGACCACCGCCGTCTCTCCACTCTCGCCTCATCCATCTTTCTCTCTTTCTCTCTCTCTCTCTCTCCCTCTCTTCTCTTTATTTCTCTTTCGACACCCCCGCCAACAACTACTCGCGTATGCACCACGAGCACATAGAATTATTCCGTTTCTCCGCGTGCCAGGGATCTCTAGTCTTTGTCGCGTCCTGGAAAACCCCGACCCTTGAACGCGAATGCTGCACGCTCTTGCACTGACTGCAGCAACGGCTGTAATCTCGAGGAAATAGAACTCTTAGACGTAGCTTGCAATCCTCGCGTTGTAAGATATCCGGATTATTGTATTACCGAAAAGATTATTTTTAAAATATACTTTTCATTGTTAAAAAAAAAATATAATCCTATATTTCTTATTTATACTTATTGTTAGTATCTTTTTCTGGCGATATAATAATATAATTTATCAAAGAGAGAATTATGATTCACAAAAAAATCGCGTGATACTGATAGAAATATAAAAATTACTACCAAGGTTTTGTATAATATAAACATAAAGTTGTCATGACATCTTCGAATCTTTTTAAATTTAATTACTAGAATTCTTCTTGAAACATATATTTGGAAAAGAGGGAGATCTCTTCTATTCAAGTATATCCCGTGACATTTAAAAAAATGGGATATTAACTTTGCAGAGATGATATTTCTTTTCCTGTTCGAAAATGGACATGATCATCCCTTCATAAAGTGTCATATAAGATTATTGTAGACACAATAAAGAGCTGTGTCGCCATGACAATGGTCCTGAGCTCCCGATGCAACATCGCGATGTGATACCGACGTCACATTAGGACGCGATCGCGCGCGGCTTTATGTCACATAAAATTTCTCGTACAATGTATCTCTTTTTTTTTTTTTCTTTTGCACCGAGAAACCAGATGTTTACGACGCGCGTGCACGCGCAACGAAGTGCTTCGATCGCGACGTAACTGTCGGCGAAATGGAAGACGAGGCGGACGCATTAACAATAAGTCGGATCACGTGGCAGGGCTCGCACGTCGAAGGTACTAACGTCGTCGCGTAATCGTTTTCCGTATTTTTCACCGGCGTCGATTGCGATCCTCCGGCGGGTTGCGGCTGTTTATCAGAGCGAGCTATAACAAGGGATTAAGAGCACGAGATACGGCAGCGACCAACGTCTGTATCCTTTACTCTCCTCCTTCCTCCTTCCTGCCTCTCTCGAGGTAGCGGCAGCCATCGTCCTTCGCTAACCGCGGTAGCGTTTTAATCGGCCGACTCCGATGCATAAATCCACGTTAAATAATACGGCAGTTAGCAGCGCCATTAAGCCGTTCGAGATACTACCGCGAAACCGAGAGCGTGAGCCGCCGACACTGTTCTCGCAAAGTCGGTATTTATCGATAC